GATATACCTGGCCCAAACCATAGTATTTTTAATCATCCTCATGGATGCAAAAGCTGGACAATTCTGCTGAATATTCTGCTTAAGAAAACACTAGTTTTTCTGGATGATATAATTCAGATGAAACCATAAATAAGGTAGACCAAGGAAGAATTGATGCAGTTGAATTATGATGTTGGCAAAGAACATTGACAGACTAAGTATTGCCAGAAGAATGAATCCATCTGCCTTAGAAGAAGCACAAGCAGAATGTTCTTTAGAAGGGAGGACGGTGAGACTTTGCCTCGTAGTTTGGACAGGTTATCAGGAGGGACCATCCCCGGAGAAAGACATCATGCTTGCTAAAGTGGAGGGGAAAGGAGGAAGATCTCAGCAAGATGGACTGACAAACGGCTGTCAAGGCAGTGTTCTGTTCTGTTCTAGAGCAGGTCCTGAGTCAGGACTGTTAGTCTTGTTGTCGCCTACACCTAACAACAAGAACAAGGTATTGACATAAAGAGAGATCTGGAAGACATTCAAAATGTCAACCGTGGCTACCCTCTGACAGGGAGAATGTTGTGAGCTTTTCATGTACTCTGTCTCCCCTCCTCCCCACTGTGGTATTTACATGTTTATAACGACGAAAAAGATCTTTCAAAAGCAAACAAATTTGTGACTCTTAACATCGGAACTCTCGCTATTGGCAAAGAACATTGCATGTCCCAAGGATTTTCAAGAGATTCCCTGTAGCTTGATCAAGGTGTAGGGCATTGGATTTAGCTGACTATTCTGCTCTCAGCGAAGCTTAAGTCAGCACTAGTTTGCCTGGGTGACATAATGCATGTGAGCATAAGCCAATATCGAACCAAACCCCCACCATCAAGTCCATTCCCACTCCTATTAACCTGATAAGACAACAGAACTGTTTTACAGGATTTCTGAGACGACTGTCATCTTTACGGGAATAGACAGCCTTATCATTCTCCCATGCACGGGCTGATAGCTTTAAACAGCTGTCATTATAGTTAGCAGTCCACCGCTCAACCCAGTGCACTACCAGGAGTGCATGACAGTAGGGTTAATTAAAATGCCCAGGTCTTTTTTATTTTTTATACTTTTATTGGGGGCTCTTACATCTCTGATCACAAACCACACATTCCTCCAAAATGTCAAGCACATTTACACATTGCCTCCATCATCATTTTCAAAGCATTCTCTTCCCACTTGAGCCCCTGATATCAGCTCCCCATTTCTTCCCCCTCCCTCCCCCGCTCGCTCTCCCTTATGAACCCTTGCTAAGTTATAGATTATTTTTTCCATATCTTACATCGTCTTCCATCGCCCCTCACCCACTTTTCCGTTATTCGTCTCCCTGGGAGGGAGTTCTAGATTGATCCTTGTGATCGATTCCCCCTTTCTTCCCCCACTTCCCCTAATCCTCCTGATATCTCTACTCTTCTCGTTGGCCCTGAGGGGTTTCTCTCTCCTGGATTCTCTGTGTTGGGGTCTCTTATCTGTAGCAGTGTGCATGCTCTGGTCTAATCTGATTTGTAAGGTAGAATTGAGGTCATGATAGTGGGGTGAAGGAAGTATCAAAGAGCTAGAGGAAAGTTGTGTGTTTCATCGGTGCTATACTGTACCCTGACTGGCTGATCTCTTCCCTGGGACCCCTCTGTGAGAGGATGTCCAGACAGACAGACAGAGGTGGTTAATCTCCAGGAGATTGAGACATGAACATCTTGGGGGGGGGGGCAGTTATTATCCTGTCTACCACAATAATGGTGAGAAAATGCTGGAATTTCAAGAGAACAGAGAGTTGTGAGAGAGAAGACAAGATAAAGGAGGCAGAGAAGAAGGAAACTGACAAAGTACTGCCAACACTGCTTATCAGATAAATGTCTGGCACCCAAATAAGAGGGCAATTTACTGTTAGGTCAGACTCTTTCGCTTCCGTGTTAACCTTTGTTCAGTGTGCTCATAAAGGGAGAGATTGGCTTTCCTGAAAAGTGCTTTCTCAATTTGGAGCCTTGTGGACCCTCTAGCCATGTTGTCATGGGGCCGATGTCATCTTCAATGCCAGTATAAGTCTGGGAAATTCATCTACATTCAGAGTGTGTGGCTTGGGACCCTGAGAAGCATATTCATGGTGGGCACCTTCGTCTACATCTGGTGAGTCTGGGAACTCAGTGCTGGCCTGTGGCTCTCCATCCAGCTCTCACCCTCCCTTCTTTCCTTCCCTGCTCCTCTATGGTCCTGCTCTTCAGCTAGGGTGCTCCTGATGACCCTGCTGTCTCTCTCATCCCCTCCCACCCCACCATCCTCTCTCCCATCTTCCTATCACCCATCCTAAGAACACAGCTTAAGTTGCTACTCTTTCTGGCCCTGGCTAGCCCAGGCACCTGAGATTGTGCCTTCTTCAGAGTGCTAAGAATTTCTGCTCTGTAAGTCCTAGGACTTAGGGATACTGCCAACTCCCTGGGTCTCCCTTTTTCCCCTGACACGGCTCTGAAGCACTGTTAAGTCTTAACACTGCTCACTATTACATAAAGACCGGTTTTCTGATCATGAGAGGGTTGGCTTCCACCTGGTACCCATGTGGAATGTATTCTGGAATAAATTTGAGAGACCCGAACTGTGCTCTCAATCTGGCCCAG